TATGTTAAACAACTTAGGAGGAGTAGCACTTGATATCTAACATGAAATAAGCTAATCATATATATATATATATATTATGGCAATGACAAAAAATACTGATCACTTTTCTATGTGTATTATTAAGAGATAGATAAAAATATGGTTATAGAAAATAACTTAGTGTCCTTAAAATTACGTGAGTGTAACGCTTGTGTTTACGATGATGTGTGTAAGTACGTGTAAAGAGCGTGTTGTGTAGGTGTGTCTATGTATGAATGTAACAGTATGTAATGCAGGTACTATGATAATGTATGTGTGTACAGTGTGTTCTTTCCAGAGGTCACGATTTAAATTTTGCTACTCACCAACAGTCAAACACTGTTCATTTCTCAATTGGATTACATTTTAATAAACGATTACGGATGGATAAAAGTCAAAAACAAAAAAGACCAAGTTCCCTTTCGTACGTACGAAAACGAAAAACGTTCGCAATCAAAAGAGACAGCATCGACACTCCGGATAAGAATGAAATGAATGAATGATCTCGAATGAATGTTGCGTTTGAGTTAATAAGTTAATGTACATGAATGATTTCAAATGAATGTTGGGTTGGATGTGTGTTGCACTTGTGATGGTTGCGTTTTGTGTTGTTTTTTGTGTTATATTGTCGTGTTGTTTTTTTTTTAAGTACCCGTGAAGCGAGAACCTGTATGACGCGGCATCGACGCAGGTTAGGCCCCGCAGGCTGACAGAAGTCGACGGCAGGCAGCACCTCTTTGTAAACAGAGCTTGTATGCTGTATGAGACAAAGGGGAAAGCAAACGAAATAGAGAAATGTTTACAAACTGGTTTTGTTCTCATACATAACATAATAATAATAAAAAATATATATCATGTATTAATATACAATATAATAAAATCTGTTCAAGAATTAGCGACTGACGCCACAAATTTGTAAAATTTTTTGATCGACACTAATAAAATAAAAACGGCAAGATTCCACATAATTTCCACGAAAAATTTTTTAGAACCAATAAAGAAAACGACTGAGACTTTTCCAAAGTCCAAAAAGCTAAGTGTTACTTAATTCCAAATAATATCGCTGTAAACACTACAGCAAAAGCGATTAGTTGCTGATTTGAACATGTTGATAAACTTATCAAAAAATTTTACAGTACAGAGAGGCGGATTAATGCAGCAATACTTTTTTTTAATTATTATTATCATCATCATCTCAAGTTATAAGAAGCAGTGAAACGTGAAAAATATTATTAAAAATACAGAAATAGAAAAAAAAAAAATAGAACACCAATAAATACAAAAAAATGACACATTAGATTTATAAAAAGACATTATACTGTAATAATATATATCACATGTTTTATATAATAATATAGGTAAATATATATAAAAAATGTCTAGCATTAAAAATTTTTTTCTCGCTGAAAAATATAAGTGAAAAGATGAAACAGGTAGTAATAAAAAATGTAAAAGTAGAACAAAAAAATATTGTATACGTATCATAAAAAAGAAAAACAATTTCCAAAGCCACCGACGCAAGTTCCATTAGAGAACGGAGAGTAATAACAAATAAATAAAAAGTTCGAATTACTGAATGCAAAGAAAAGGAAAAAAAAGGAACCAATGAACAATATAAATAAATAAACGGAAAAGATAGAGATCAAATTCGATATAAATATATAGTTATATATTATATTTCATCCTAATGGAACTCTCTGTTTAGAAAAAGCACGGGACAAATTTCATACTACTTCATTTGCTATCAATCATCTAATTATTCGAATGACTTCATACTACGGCCTTGCATCAAAATTTCATCTGCTTTCAGTATTGTTAACCTCGTTCAAAAAAAAATCACGCCTCTGTCACACTTTAGCATGTATTTGTCCCTCTAAAGAAAATACATACAATATTTGTTCAGGTACTGTTTCCCCTATGCTCTTTTTTTCTCTGGTTTTTTTTTTTATTTTAGTATCAACAAGTCATAGGAGTAACCCTATGTGTATATACATATCACAAAATAGAAACAATAACTGAACAAAAACACTCGAAAGTACATTGGTAGGTCAGGTAGAGCAGTTATTGGATTTTTCTTCTAGTCCCTACCTGTTTTACTAATGTGCTTCTCATACAACCAGTTAGTTTCATGCACAGCATGCATTGAGATTAACTCAACTTTTGCGGTTGTTATTTTGACTAGGATGATGAACAATACTTAATCGCAACTACATTAAATCATGTTAATTTTCTCAATTTCCATTATTTATTTTTTATTAAAATCGACACAACCCATAGAAGTATTCGTTAACTTTTCTTTTTTTTCAAACCAATTAACGTAAGGGCCTGAAATATTCATGATTTCAGTATTTTGAAGGTGTTTTTATCTTTAAAATCGTCAGTACCCTTCTTGCATATTTTAGTCAGCTGGTTAAATGTTGAATCATAAAGTATTAAAATATTATAGTCAAAATAGCAACAGTTAGTTAACCTCTAGTTAAACGACTTTGCCCAACATATGTGAATAACTTACCACTTGTTACTGCCCCACTTGTGGGCGTATATACAAACTGGTGTGGTTCACTAGTTTTTCCACTAGATACAACGAATAACCGGACTGTTACCGGTTCTATAATGTCATGTCTTAAATATGGTGGTATTACACACACCAAATGGGTCTGCAAAAAGAAAATAAGGTGGATTTAGACACAAACATTTTTATCTGCTACTCAAAGAAAACGAATGAGACAAGTGAAATATTACCTGCTGCAAATATTCTTTGTCGGGGACAACAGACTGCTCCCATCGAACACCTTGTTCGTCAACTTGCTGGAAAAACACCCTTGTGTCTTTTAAGAAATTTTTGCCGAGTATGAAGAGTTCTAAACCACCTGAAGCGGGACATGATGTGAGAGATTTCTTGGAGATTTCAGGCACACCAGGGGGTTGCGCTAACGAGAAAAAGAACATAACATAAACATATACAACTAATAAATATTTAATTCTCATTGACCTAAATGATAAGTTCATCAGTTACATCTTAAAGATCAAGATTTTATGTACTTACTGCATGCAATCGGTTGCGAACATATCTGTAAAACCTCTTGAACGCCATTATCGTGGGTTACGGTTGTTCTGAAGACCATACGACACCTGGTAGACTTCTTCTTGCTCCTGGTGGCTGTTTGTTCTGGAAACCTATGCTCTACGTCCACGTTTCTCTCTTTCAGTATACCAACACAGTCACACGTTGCAACCATTTCTTTCGAGGGGTCCAATTGCAGTTCGATCACTACCGTACCTTCGATCTTACGTTCTATACAGGGTGTGGAATTTTTACCGCTAACCCTGCACGCCTGATAGAACATGTGTGGAGTCGCTTTACCAACGTCAGTTCCAATGAAAACCTGAACAATGTTTTTTTTTTATAATAATGCATAAGAAATGGTCGATATATGTAGTTAAATAAAGGGGGCGGGAAATACCTGTAACGTTGCAGGTTTGTCGTAGCCATTTAACTGAACAATAGGGAATCCGTTTCCGGTTCTGTCTTTAACGGCACCCCTACTTCCTTCCGTTTGATAGCGAGCCCTATGTTGCTGTTCAGGCTGACTCACGATGGTAAGGGAAATGTCAGCTAATAAAATATTATTTTATTATTAACAACTCTTTTCGTAAAAGTAGTTAGAGGAAAAAACATTAAAACACTAACACAAAATATTTCATTTCTTTTCACTACACAATAGTTGTACATATCTAGGGCTGGTAATTGGTTTGACAAAAAAACAGNAAAATGCAGCAAAGTTAATAACAATAACAAACGAAATAATATCTTCTTCTAACAAAAAACAAAATTAAATGTAAAAAGAAACTACACTTGCAAATTTACACATATTATGAATTTTGCTAATTTGTTTTTACATGCTCTCCTTTTATTATACGCTTGTGAATAGAAGCAGTACTTGAAATACGAATGAAGGTGAATGTAGAAATGTGCATGTGAGTGTGTAATGCGGAGAGAAAATACGAGCTACACAGATACTTTTTTACCATCGATTGACTGTAACACCTTTAGACATCGAATATTTAATAATTTTTTGATACACAGCACAACATAAGCATCGGATACCACTTTTAAACGAAGGGACAGATGGATAACAAACAGGAGTGTAAAGATAATGTGTTATGAATGTAGTGAAATTTCGAAATGATGACACCTCCACCATAATATGACTGATTATACTGAAAAAAATAAAATGAATTAGAAAACTATGAGTACGTAAGTACACAGATCGAGTTGTTATTTTCTTTACAATTTTTTCTGTGTTCTTGTGCTTAATGGAAATTGTTACCTTGATCGAAGCAGCTTGGATTAATGATATTTATGAGTTCGTTATCGGTCATAGTCGCGAACCCATGAGGTATCATACGATCTTCAGGTTTTCCTTCACTCTGTGTATGCGTAATCATGTCCTGTTGTTTGGTGCATGCATCCATTGCTTTACTTGCGATCATGTTCATGGACATACTGGCCGAAATGGTTTTCGTTGGTGATGAAATTTGAGATTCGACGTAGCTCATGTTCGTTTTCAGAATGTCGTTCCCCGTTGATTTCGTCGTTAATATATCGTTGATGATGTGTTCTTCCATTGTCGTGGCGGCTGCTGTTGTGGACAAGGTCGGCTCAAGCGCCGTTATCTTTTTCTGCGTTTCGAAGAGATCGACAGCGGCCTTGAGCAGGATCGCCTTTTCTGGTTCCGAAGAACTGATGACCGAAGATAGTTGGGTGGCCAGGGTTGTTGAGTTATGGGTGGCCAAAGTCTTTGTAGGGTCATTAGTTAAAAGAGGTGATAAGTCCGAATCGGCGTTTATAACCGGGGGACACAAACCGAGTTGAGTGTCAGTGGTTAAGACGGGGCCATTGGACATTAAAGTGGGGGATGTTTGAGAATTGAGAATTACTTCAGGCGACAGCGTCGCCGAGGTCGATTGATGAGGACTGACGTCAGGTGAGATATTGTGAAGACTTAGAGGTGTGCTGGAGACTCCAAATGAACTAAGCATGATGTCTTGTGATGTGGTCATTATGTTTTGTGTCTGTATGGTGCTGGATACTTGATGCGGCGACTTGTTGGGTAGAAGGATGTCCTGTGGCCTGTGAATTACAATCTCTTCATTTTTGACGTATTGATTTTCTGCTGCCACGGAGTTCATTAAAGCAGCAAGTTTTCCTGTTGAGATTGCAGCAACAGTCTGAGCGGGGCTTACGCTATTTCTCGTCAGTGATTTCTCCTCCAGTTTTATACCGTTTTTTATAGACATGACAGTGCTGGTGTCTACATTTAAAGCTTGATTTATAGTGGTAGAAACATCATGCAGCAAGGTCGTCGCCAATGTGTTATCTGGAATCATTTTCGGAGGCTGATTGGGGGGCTCAATCATTTTCTTTCCGGGACTTTCAATAGACGATAAGTAGTTTTCGACACTCTGAGCGCTCTGTGCTGGTAATGCGGTGGCCGTCGGGACGCTGAAGTTGTGCAACGACGTGGTCGACGTTAAACCGATGGTTGGGTCTGTATTTAGTTTCATTCTTAAATCTATGACATTAAGGTCGCTGGTTGTGATCGGATTGTGAGGGGGTATGGGAGAGAGAGGTGTCTCTAGTAAGCCTCTCTTAAAGTTGGTTACGTTCCTGCTCAACTGAAAAGAGGCAGGTTCGGCGGTATCATCTCGTACTGCAGAAGCAGTAACCATTGATAAGTTTCTAGGTACCATAACATCCATACTATTTTCATTTCCTATACTTATGTTGGAGTTTTCGTTGTGCATTATGGAGTCGTTGGTCAGCGAGTTATGACGAAGGATATCCATGGAATTTTCAGTTATCATAGTAACATTGGAATCACCGGCGTTCACATCCATTGAGCTTTCGGACAATTGTCTGAATCTACTACGGTGCAATTCCAGGGGGTCAAGAACCGAACTTTGACTGTTTTCGTCGATTAATTCTTGTTTGAATGAAAGCAAGGGGGGAGATTGTGTTGGTTCACAACTGGAAGGCTGGTTAGTCGAAGCGCGTCGCTGAGACAGGGGAACCTGGTTTGTACCTGGTGGCGGCATGATTCCCATGTCTTGCTCCTGTTTGCTCGTATCAGACGACCAAATCATTTTGTTAAGAAATGACGAAGACGTAGTCGTGGGCGAGGAAGGTGTATCACGAGCTGCAAATTGATAACAAATGTTAAAAAGTCATTCTAGACATTTGCATTTTGTAAATGTAGCCGCCAAAAAAGCCACTGCAAAATTTTGGGGGGAGGGACTTTGCCACTCAAGCCAGGTTAAAACACCGCTCAAATATCAATACATCAATTACACTATATTATTTAATTAACTGGCCGTATCAGGACGAAGTATTACATAAAACATATAAAAATAAATTTAATATAAAAGAACGTGTCTTTTGAAACAAAACCTTGGCTTGATAGACATGATCTGCATTACTAACGCCTCTCGCTCACTCAAGCGAATTCATGCATGCAACATTCGTGGCATGTATGCTTGATTCACCAAAAAAGTAAATCAAAGGACTTTAGGTTTTTAGTGTGGTTACTATGTTTTCAGTAGACAAAGTGGCAATATATAAATGAAAGAAACCTCTCTACCAGGAAATTTTTCTCAAGAGTCACCCTACAGCTGCATTTATTCTAAAATTTTATGTTCAAATATTTGGCAAACCGACAACAACAATAAAAATTAAACACCAAATTAATCATTTTAAACTTATTAAGAATTTAAGTTTAAATTAAAGGAAGAATTTATGAAACATATTGAACTTGTTTTTTCTCTAATATTAAAAAGTTAAAAATAAATCAATGTGCTGTTAGTGATTAATTAGGTATTCTACAGAGACAATAATTAGTAAACGATTAAAGCTTCTATTTGCGACAATAGACTATCTTAAACTAATTGGATGATTTTATTACACCTTCTGCTTTTTTAAAAATAAAGTTATCGGTTAGCCAAATATTTACTGTTACCACATTAAAATGAGTACAGTTTTTCAAAAATATTAGAAATGAAAAATATTGCAGATATGCCAGTTTAAAATAAAATTATAAATGACTCCTTATTAGTAAGAAATTACGATATATCATGTAATAAGTTAAAAAATAAAATAAGGTATTTAAGAATAATGAAGTAAAAAAATAAATAAAAACATCTACAGAGTAATTAGACATAAACTAATATTGCTTCAAAAAATAAAAATATATAGAAATACTACAAATGTAACTGACATATCTGAATAAAATTTTGAATTAAAAAATGAATAAATGCCAGGTGACAAAAGAAGTTAATTGTAGCAGTAATAGCCGCAAATGTAAGTACGTGTTAGTAAATAATAATATAAAGTAAATAAATAATGCGACCATATTATTATACAACTATAAAAACAATAAAAAATGAAAATATGAGTTTTAAAAAACAAGACGATTGATTTAACGAATACACTGATGGGATGCACTTTCCTTGCTTGCTGCTACATATACCTTTTGTTCAATGTAGCAACCTGCAAAGAAATTTCTTAACTCTAATAAATGTAACGATTATTAAACGTAATTGCAACTGATAATATAATGGCACAAAATAATAATAATAAGTTAATATTATGTCGACACATTATGATTAATCCTATGCATTAATTTTTAATACCAAACCACACACCAATACCGACTTATTTTTTTTCTGAAAATGATTTATGGAAAATGAGATTTTTTTAAGCAGTTAAGAGAGAAATAGAAAAGGGAGTCCAAAGAAAAGGAGGGAATTTTACCACGTAAAAATTTACTATCTGGAAGTATACTGTAAATTTTACAAATGTAAATGTCCCTTCTTCTCCACTAAGATTATAAATAATACCAAGCAAAAGAGTAACTTTTTAAAGGAAAGTTGCACATAAACATTTAATAGTTATATATAACAAAGGAATTTGGATGCTTAAAGACTGTACAAAGACTATTAAATAAATTTGAAAAGGGTTCGATCCTGAATCAATACTGCATCACGGTCGACAAACCCAAACATTGAGCTCTTTTAAATAACGCCGTCAGTGAAAGCCTTAACTTAGAATGTCAACAAAAATTGTTTTTGAATTATTATTTGACAATAAATAAAAATCTGAACTTATAAAATGGTTCGTGCATCTTTCTCATGGGAATTTATAATTTTTTAATAATACCCGGAACAGATGTAGAGAGGGTTCCACATGGGATTTAAAAATAACCTGGATATTGGTAAAAAGGGACATAAAAAAGAAGCACACAACGTTTTCACTTTTCATTCCCACAAATCGATAATATTGCAGATCGATTGAACAGGGTAATAAAACTGCTACTCTGAAACCTGAAAGAAAAAAGAGAACATGCCCCGCGTCCAATGGCCTAGCTGGAATCATTAATTTTTTTTTATTAAGACATACTGTATCTTTAAATTGTTTTGTTCACTACTTGCGAACAAGTAGTTCTTTTTATACTACTATTATCAT